AGGTATTGGTTTTACTCTGATGTGTGTTTTTTTTTTATCTGTATACACTGTAACTTCTTTAATACTTGACCAATTCGTTCGAATAGCAACTGTATAAATCGCAATTTTCATCTAGTTGGTACTTTGGGGTGGTAAAAGTTGAAAAAGTTTAATTCTTCACAGACGAAAGTTGAAAAAACAAAAAAAAAACCGTACGAGTTTTTAAGTTAGAACTTTTACTGGCTATAATTTCGAGAAAAAGAGTCGGATCGAGTTGAAATGTATAAGAAATAATTATTTGGTATGCCCGCACACGTCAGTTGTGTCAAACTTAAACTATACCCATTTCCCACCCCCCCTAGAGGGGGTACAATTTTTTTTGTTTTTCCGGGTTTTTAGCGGTAATTTTAAAAATTTTGGGTTGAAAATTTGGCAGTAGTTGGAACTCATATGTACCCATAACATATTAAACGGGAAAAAAATTCGGCACTACAGTTTTTTTTTAATTGCCGGGAAACTGTGTTTTCGCAGGTTTCGTATATTTTAACAAAAACACCTAAAATCTTTAAAAAAAATTGATCAAATCATTAAAACAATTTTAGTTATATCTATGCAGAATGATACTATTAGGTTTTGTGCTCAAGTACCACTCTTGACTTAAAGTTTACACAAAGTTCAATTTTTTTTTTTTTTTTTTAAGTACAAACGCACTCTACCAGATGTGAGAAACGAAAAAAAAAAAGTATAATTTTTTGTTCTATTGGCATCATCGTGTGTACGAACGGCATATTGATGCGCGCTCTTATCTGCTCCGTAATGAATTATGAAATCAGTTATGATAGAAAATATTGTATGTCGTTTTAAATAGTATTTTTAAATCTCTACAAAAACGCTAGTTTTTATTCTGGTTGTAACTTGTATTGCGCTGTATAAAACTTTTATGACGTAGTTGATGTTTATTTTATCAATTTTCATTATTTAATAAAAAACAATTTGTCAACAGAATATAACTAACTGGGTGTGGATTTTATTAAGTCACAGTTGATATAAAATCGATTTGGACTTGAACTTTTTGCGGAATGACTGAATTTAATTTAAGTAACTAATTTAATTTTAATTGGCAGCCATTACGTGAGAAATGATAACATGAGTTGTTTATACTATAGTGTATAGTTGTTGTAATTATCAATTTTCGAGACAAAATAATATTCGATCGTGACCATATAAACGCCCGATCGCGTTATCAACTGTCCACCGTCTTATGTACACGGTACAGGTGGGAACAAAAAACCCCTTATCGGCCCGAGCCGGTCATGGAGTGTGAGAGAGAGGTCTATTTACTCCTTAATAATATGTCATGCTGGCAGCACAACTAGCACCATTAATAATCGTATATTGTACACACATATTGTTAGTGTTGGCATTACTGGGAGGCGGTCTTTTTAGGGGCGGCGTTTTGTCGATTTTTTGTCCGGCGACGTTATGTCGGGCGACGTACTGCGGTGTAACCACTATTATTGATTCCATACTATCTAAAATTTTATCGCCTAACGCGCGGACAGGTAAATGATATTACTTTAATTGTATCTGGGGTCGCATTTATATTATTTCTGTAGGAGTATATACACAGACATACAGAAGCACGAAGATAATGATTATTACTAGACATTAAAAATTACGAGTTTACTTACTTACTTTTGACAAATATAATAACAGCAGACTAGCAGTTATCGATGAAAATTTGATTATAACTATAGTAATAAATTAATACAATTTTAATATATAAAGATATTTTTTTGGTTTGTCAACGTTTTTCCGTTTACGTTGTATAGTACTTTATCCGAAGAATATTCCATAGAAATTTGGAACAAAATCGACTATTTTAAAAAAAGTAATATGTACATTTTTATGTGTTTTCCCAATTTTGAAGGGGAAGAAGTGAACTTTCAAAATTTTGCCCCAAGAAATAAACTTTTAGATTAGATTTAGATTTAGAACGGGAGGCACTTGTGACGGCCAACCCTTGTAGTCAGAACGATCGGCTGGTGGAAATAGTGATTGAATATTGTGAGAATAAACAATATAAACTCAACTATAATCGTTCATGCGTAGTTGCCGTTAAAATAGTGCAACTTTAATACAAATAACTCTATTATTGTTAGTTGTTACAATTCATAAATGTGAAACGTTTATAAAAATAGTTGAAAACATTTTGGTAAATATATTATTTTACTTATCAAATTAATCTGGATAGTTCATCATGACCCTCGGAGACAGTTTGGGATTAAAACTGTCATGGGTAGGAAAAATTCTGTTGCGGTGGCGTTTAATTTTACAAGTCAGTCACACGTCAGAAAACAGTATTTTATGGTGTTTAATTTTTTTTCCAAGACAGCCGCCAAAGGGTTAGAGATTTCTAATATATAAAGTAAATACATGAAGAAATCGGTTAACGGCATAGAAGATACGTCCAAACACAAAAAATAAATACAATTAAAAACACATCATTGTAAAAACAATACCTTCTCAACTACGCACCGAAGCTAAAACAAAAATTGTTTTTTGGTAAAATATGCCGTTCTTAAAAATATAATACATAAGGACTCGTTTTAATCATCAAGACATAATATTAGGTAACTCACGGAGCATGATCTAACCTCTCTCTGGATAGTTTTTTTTATTCAGCGAATTTAAATTCCCTTTATTCTTTATCCAGCGAGATAAGGGTTTTCTATACTTAGGTCAATACTTCCTAGTATACTTATTATTCATTATTATATGAAATATAAATCATATAAAATATGAATTGTGTGAGTATAAGACGACCTGACGATGGACAACATCAACAACGCTAGTCGAATACTCGAATGACTAAAATCTAAATTGTAGAAAAACGATCATTTTTACAATTCAGTATAAATTGCAATGCTCTGCCAATGATCCTCGTTTTAATAGTATTTTGTTATACACCGTACATGACAAAATATCTAAAAATAATATCCTCATCTGCAATTTGCGGGTGCCATGCGACGACGACGATAGCGGTCGATAAGAAGTGTCACGCACTCGCAGGCAAAAGTCAATAAACTGTTTGAAGCCACAAAATTTGAAATTGAAATTTCACTTTAATACATCATTCTACTTCAAACGTACTGTCCTTAAAAATACTTCGATTTAAATTTTTAAAAAACATTTGAATTCTTCACAACATTTTCAAGGCATCGGTCGTGGCACAATTTTAAAATTAATTTCAGTTAATTAATTATTTCAATGTAAAAAAATGCAATTTTTTTACTTTTTTAAACTGAAATAATTAATTAACTAAAAATAATTTTAAAATTGTGCCAAGACCGATGCCTTGAAAATGTTTTGAAGAATACAAACATTTTTTTCAAAACTTAAATCGGCGTATTCTTAGGAACAGTACGTTTGAATTAGAATGAGTTGTTTTCTACTAAAAAAACGCAGGTGTAGAGGCCCCTTAAGGGGAACATCCCAATGAGTTATCGACAAATTCCGTAGGAGCGCGCCACTATTATCGGTTGCAATAAAATAATATAAATTGTACACGTACTGTCGTCGCACGTCGGCAACCGGCAACGTGCGATGGTCTGGTGCGATAAACAACAATGTTCTCAGTTTACAATACTATTGTCATATGCCTACCTACCTATCCGACCGATTATGAACCCATCGGCCGAATTTACGGTTAGGTACATATGTACACCGTTCAAAATAAAAAGCGATCTCGGTGGCTATCTGAATGCCACGTGGAAAAACCGGTTTTCAGGTAGCCGCTGAAGTCGCTTGTTATTTTGAACAAGAATATACAAGATAATAATATTATTATTATTATTTATCATTTATATTATGAATGATATTAGAATTATTTGTTACTTCGTGACTAGGTCGTACTGTGTAGATTGCTATACTTAAATTTAGATACATTTTGCGTTTTTACCAAGACAAATGTTTAGGCATGTTATATGTCATTACCATTTGCGTCCCTGAAGTGAAACGTGAAAGCGGTAAAAGCGCAAAGTGTGGTTTTTTCTAAAAAATAACGGCAAACAAAAACATGGCCGACCATTTAAAAGCAAAAAAAAAAAAGCTCGAGACCCCAACTCATTGAAAGTTTAACTTATAATAGAATGCAAAAAAAATATTCTCTAGTCGTTCCAGAGACTTCTTCAAGTTCTCTAGAGATTCCTCTTTCTGTGGAAAATACAAATATGTAAGTATATCATTGCAGTAATAATAAGTATTTGTTTATTTGACCAATGATAAATTATAATAAAATGCAAGCCAATAGAGGTATAATCTCCATTAGCATACATACTCTGTAATACAAAATATAATGAATTATCTATTAACCCATTTTCCAAAATTTAACCCCTAAGAGTGTAAAAAGAAAACGCGTATATTCAAAACAATAAAAACTCTCCGTTAGCTTGGATCAAATTAAAAAAAAAAGAGCATATTGCAAAACCCCCGGCGAAGCCGGGCAACACAGCTAGTATACTATATTATAGTACATACTACAGATACACATATATATATATATATATAATAAAAAAAGTAAAATATGAAATTATCTCCTACTATTAGGTATAATTAGTAAATATTTTGTTCATGAGTCATAAGTCTTATTGCTTCCATTAGCAATCAAATATTCATATGGAAAATGTTATCATCTTATCAATTTTTCGTCCCAACGCGTCCGACCATCAGTGATGCCGACTTCTTGTCGGTATAGAGGTCTTATTCCCGTATAACCTTTTGGTTTTTTTCCGTTAATTAATTTCACCATTTCTTATGTCGAGTCATTAGTTTAAGCTATTAACGAATTATCGTTGTTTTACACTTTAAATTTGGCCAATGTCCATCACTCATCTGTATTTAGCGTCGGCGTCTACACAATTGTAATATAGATAAAAGATATTTTGTGTGCCGGACATGCCCGCACTGTAATAACACAACAAGCGACGCCTCAGTAAAATCATAATTTCACAATGTTGTTATTTACCAAACGACTCGACTGCTTAGTAGACGAGCCTTGAGTATTTAGGATAATAATTTAACTGCTAAATCCTTAGAAATTGGATCGAGTTTAATTTTGAATTTATTTTTAAGAGTTTGATATTAATTTTAACTTATAGTGCTCATCCGCCGTGTACGATAATGTCTGTGGATCCCTTCCGTTTCGATAAAAGTAAGTTACGATTACAGTCTCTTCTTTTTTTTTTTTTTTACTTTTATGTATTATTATTTTTTACCCGAGTAAACTTATAAGGTGATTCAAAATTGACGGTGATGAAATTTAAATACGAATGAGGACATTTTAGAGATATTGAAAGTAGGTAGCTAAATTAAATATTTTACATTGGATCTGCTGGACAAAATTAAGTAGAGTATATTTATCTAAGAGGTAGCATTAAGTTTGTATCTGTAGTAGCAATAATTAATGAGATTAGGGAATAGTTAATACAGGCAGGGGATACAACAGAGAACGAGGTCAAGAAAACAGCAGTAGCGTTTGATCTTATGAAAAGTGAACAAAGAGTAGCCATTATTTATAAAAAGTAGGTGAGTTTTGTTGAAAGTGAGTTAAGATGATATGAATTAGGTAATAACAAATATTGTTAAAATTTTGAGTAATATGCACTGATTGGATAGAAATCTAACAAAAAGAAAAGATTTTTGTGAGTAAATAAAAAACCAGACAGCTGCAACAACCATTTTTATACAAATATATGCAATATTTCTTTTCATTATAAATAAATAAAAATTTTAAAATCACAATTACGCCAAATTGATTTGAATCGTTTGTTATTTGACAGATGACATAGTGCTGTGTTACCACAGATCTATGCTATATGAAGCAAAGTGCTTAAAACGACGAATTGGACCTGACGGTGAATTGAACTACTACATTCATTACATAGGGTGGAAAACGAAATGGGATGAATGGGTACACGGTGATCGTGTTTTGTCTGTAAATGAGTTTTCGCTTGACCACATGAAAGCACTCCAAGACCAACAGTAAATATGTGTTTTAATATTAATATTGTATCGAATGCAATTATTATGTCGTCAATTTTACCAATAATATTAATTTTTTTTGAGAGAGAGAGTGATTTTTAAATTTTCACATTATTTATAACATGAATCGATCAGTCTAATTAAATAAATACTTTTGTAATATTTTCAGCAAGTTTAAAAAACATTTTAACAAAGGAAGAGTTGGCAGACGTAAAAAAAATACTGAAGTAAACCAAACCACTGATGCTCCATCTTCGGCTACTGAAGAGTCTGGTAATTAATTGAAATTAAAAGTTTAAATTTTTTGACCTGAAACATTCCGGAAAAAAATCCAAATTTTACTAATTTCCTTATTTATTTAAATAGAACCATCTTCTAATCCGGTTTTGGTTGCATTCAGAACTGTTGGTCTAATAGAAAATAACATTAATAACTTACCTGCCATACAAGAGTTTTTGGTAATATACCTTTTTATAATTAAATTATTATCTTAATAAATATTTTGTTTAACAGAAAATTGTTATTATAATCTTTAGAACATTGTTATGGCTGATAATTGATGTATGTGTTGAACGGATGTACGTATACAGCCAAACAGTTATTTATTTTGATTTTGACTTTGTCTGCAACAAAACTATTAATTTTTCTAGCCTCCATACGATAAACAACTAAAATTTGATGTGCCTACAATTCTGAAACGGCGATTGTCCTACGACTATAATATGATAAACGTTTTTAACAAGGTATTTAACAAGGTGTTTTAAACATTTTAATAATATTTGGTCACTTTGTTAATAAATTGTTTGCCTAATAATGGTGTGTAAAATATTTTAGCAATTAAAGTTTCCATCCAAATTCACTGTTATGCATCTCATTGATGGTTATATCGGTTCCAAACAAAAATCAACAATATTTGTTAGGTAATTATTGTTTTTCTTACAAAGTTAATAGTATAATAGTGTCGAAAATATAATAAGATATTTTTAGGGAAAGAGCTTTGTGTGTTGGATCGACTTTTATTCAATATTTTAATTCACGAATACAGACGCTGCTATATGCGAAAGAACGTAATAATGAAGTGCACAATAAAGTAAATTATTTTTCGTTGATGAGATTTTATGTAATGAGAATTTTTATTTAATAACTTTACCAATATTTTTCTTTTAGGCTGTTGCTCTGTTATCAGAAAAAATAAGACTTGACAGTTTACAATTCAAATATAAAAACATTTATTCGGAAGACTTGTGGTGTACAGTTTATGGACCCATTTATTTACTAAGGCTATGTGGTACGTATGAAATATTGACTTTGATGTTAGCGAAATGATGTTTTATTAATTCCTTATAAACGCGTTCAGGAGCTCATTTAGTGAAAAAGAACACCTTCCTTACACTCAACCGTTTTTGAAGTGTTTTTCCAAACATTGATAATAACATTTTATATGGTCTTACACGAAGTGCTATCCTAATAAACATAATTTTTTAGTGTTTTTGTAGTGTCCTAATTATATTTTTTATACATATACCTATGTGTATTTTAGTATTCGATACTTGATGACATATTAATGGATTTTAATCAATTTTTCAGTTAATTTGAAAAAATTTCTAAGACCAAAGTTTGTGACCGAAGACAACCAGCTCTCTTCCATTGCTGATAGCATAAATGATTTTTTCAAGTAAGAATTAAATTTTTTTTTTTAATTTAACGATCCATTTAGTTAAACTATTATATTTATTATGGTTTATATAAAATAATAATCAAATGAACTTGCTGGTTCATCTATGGCTATCATTTTTAATAATAAAAAAAAAAACGGAACACTATTTTGTCCAAACTTCTAAAGAAAGAGCTTCAATAAAAAATTGAAAATTACTTTTTGCACCTTTTGATAATAACAATTTTTATTATTATAAATAATATTTTGATAATAAGTATTATTATTTTAAATTACTTTAATTTATTAATAAAAAAATCGTTTTAATTTCTTGTTTTGTATTAATAGTTCACTGACTAACTTTCAAGTTTCATTTTTTTTTATACAGTTCAATAAGTACATCTTTATTTTTTTTTTTTGTAAAAATGAGTGGCAAGAATTAGAAATTTTCTTTTTTTTCTCATAGAAAAAGTCATATTTTTTTCTACCCAAAATTCTATTTTAGTTATTTTAAAATCTTTTTTTGAATAGTTATTTAAAAATAGTTAGCGTTTAATTCCACTACTTTCTCCACACTTTCGAAATCTAAATCAAAATTAATAATTATTGCTCTATTTTTATTAATATTTTGATAAGATAGCTGATAAAGAGAGAACCTAACCATATTCTAAGAACCGGACAAAAAGCGTCCAGTCGAAAGTCAGTTAGTGGGACAAGGGAATATTTAGCTCCAAAAAGGGACAATCCCATTTTTAACGAGACGTATGGTCACCCTAGGCTAAGTGAGAAGGTTAAGTGAGTGATAACTCGTGTTTTATCGTAGAGGGCCATGCGATTCAGTAGGAATTAGACAGAATATGTTGAGATAATTAGAGATATGATTTATTAGCAAAGATAACTTCTGCAATAGATTCATCGCTTTATGCAAGGTGTAAACAACAGAATGCGTTGAGGATGTATAGTACAGAGTTAGATAAATAAGATAAATGGTGGTAGGGTTGAAGCAACAATGTGAAGTAGCTTACATTTTTAAAAACTGATCCGTAAAAAAGCCACATTTGTTTCAATCTCAACTTTAGTCAACAATCGACGAGCAATTCAAATTGAGCAGTCGTGTACGTAGGTATCGACTATAGTTTGATGGTAAATTGTTTAGTTATTTTTTCAAAAAAAAAAACATTTGGGTCTAAAATATAATTTTATTCTTATGTTATGAAACATCAACACTGTTTTCTGACAACCTTTCTATAAAATGTCTTTGTTAAAATATTTGTTTTCAGGTACCTAGAACAGCAACATTCCAAATATTTTGCCAACGATGACTACGAACCTGCAACTGATACGAGCGAGACAGAAGTATCGTTAACATAATCTATTTTTCACATCACTAAAAATTCATCCTCTCAATTCTTAGTTTTCTTCCTATTTTGATATAAACTAAATTATTTGAGCAGTGAAGTATAATTTTATGTATTTTATAATGTGTTCAGAATTTATATTTGAATTTTTTTCTACGTCATCCATCGCACATTCAACTTTTTTCCTCTTTTTATCTTTTGACTTATCAATTTTTTTTTTTTTTTATGACGTAACTGACGTTTGGTCGATAATGTACATCAATTTTTAGTCATAATATTATTTGTATTTTTACTAGTTGTCCAAATGTATATTTTTTCAGTCAATTATCTATTTTGTATATTGTCATTCTATTTTTTGTTCAATTTTATTCGTAAGCCAACTAATAATTATATTTTTACATCAATTATTGTCACTTGCTATTATTGAATGTGCCAATATTTTTCCTTTTTTAGTATAAGATAGTACCTACAGTTTGGTTAGATGTTCCTGAGTGGTACCAAAAATAAATAAATTGTATCCATACTCTTTTTAATCCCACCTTAATTTCTACTCTACGCTTGTACGAACGGTCCATCTGTTCAGGTCAAATTTATTAAAACGAGTTATTATTATTCTTTTAAGTAACTTTTATATTAATTGTATACAATACATCTTGTGTTATTTTTAAGTGATACTAGCAATTTTTTGTGTTGCATGATTTAATTGTATTTTTAAGCTTGTGTCAATACGAATGCCAAATAAAATATTTATTTACTTTTGTCTTAAAATTGTTTAAAACACTTTTTTTTAACTTGAGCAATTATTATAAACTATAATGATTTCCGATTTTATAAAGACAAATGTAGTAAAAAACATAATAGTTAAGGTTCGAATGATTTTTCATAAATATTAATTTATAGAAATAACGATTGATAAAATGAAATAAAATAACCAGTATACAGGTATTTTTATGAGTTATATGTGCAAGCATTTAGTGAAAAGATGGCAATATGTACTTTGAGTGGTTACATGATTATAATAATTAAAGTATTGAACAAATTAAAAACAAAGTTAGATGTTTAGAGTTTGAATATTTGTTCCACACATAAATTGTCATTTATTGGTAAATAATCAAATATTTTTTAGACCTGGTTACTGAATGGCTTTAGGTGTTATTCTTTTTTTTAAATTAATGTGCTTTTATTTAAACAATATTACTGCACGACAATTACAGGTGTTAGGTCCTTATCGAGGCAAAAAATGTGTTTCCCTAATCCAAAGAAGTTCGATTTATGGACATAAAATTTTGATTCATTTAGAAAATCCACTCGCACACACATTAGATGATTTGGCATGGAGTGATTATAAAAAGTAGTTTTTCCAAATAGGCAATAGTTATTTAACTTTCAAATACAAAAACTTTATCTTCAAACAAAATCTGTAGTGTTACCCTATCAAATTGTTTATAGGGGGTTATCTTATGTATTTTATAGAGCAAGAATTAAAATGGGTACATTCATTTATTATTATTTTTTTTTGCTAAATCTGATTCGGGCCTTAGATTTTTTCAAGCACGTTTAGTTATTTTTCAAATAACCTCTAAAAATGTGAAATAAACCGCTTTGTGTATTATTTTTAGCATGTTCGATACGGTTGCATAATTATCTAAAATATACTTCAAATAGAGTATTTGTGTTTAGAACTAATCTAAAAATTACTTAACAGTTTTTACAATTTTTTTTTTTTAAACCAAAACCAAAATAAAAATTTTAATTTTGTTTTTCACAAATAATTTTTTACAATACACAAATACACTTTTATTTTGTGTATTGTAGTTCAAAAATGTATATGCTAATGAAAATAGTAGGCCAATTTCGGATTCATTAAATAGGTATATCCTATTAAAGTAGTACTTTTTTCACTCTCAATTAAGACCGCTTTGGCTGGCATAACTTGAGCATTACAATCAATTTGGATCTTAAGAGAGACACTATTGTGACGGTCGTTCCTTTTGATGGTTCAATTTACATGGTTCAATGGGCTAGGCATATATAGGTGTATCACAATGATCCGACAGCTTCGCATATAAATTGTATGAAAAATCTTTTAGATGACTGATACACCCTGTATACTATAAAGAGCCTGTCAATTAGTGTATTATTTAGATTGGGTCCTGTCCCTACATCCTGTCCTTGTACCTACGGTTTAACAAATGAGCCGTTTTATAATTCTACAATAGAACTTTGATGTATTATAAGTTAAAACGAGCAGTGGCGGTTCTGGCATTAAATTGTTAAGGAGGCAACAACTTTGTACCCTTATTGATAAAAAAAAGCGCAAAACCCCCAGACCTAAAATTTCTTCATACTAGTTTTGTTAGCGTACTTCCTTTTTTTAACTGTACCAGAAGGCTTTTGCTTATTTTCCTAGTTATTAGTTGACTAGTATCTTTCTAGTAAAAAATAATTCTTATTCAAGTTTAACAACATATTAAAATATTTAAAACAAATTTAATAAAGAAATCAATTAATAATTTTAAATAAAACAAATTGTAATAATAACATTTTTTTGGTCTAGTATCTTTCTAAAAAAAAATAATTTATATTAAAGTTTAACAACATATTAAAATAATCCTATCAAATTTAATAAAGAAATCAATTAATAATTTTAAATAAAACAAATTGTAATAATAACATTTTTTTTGGGCTAGTATCTTTCTAGTACCTAACAAAAAATGAAAAGTACAAATTTTAGTAGGGTAGAAGTTAAATAATAAAATATGTTGAATTCAAATTTGGATGTATGAACTAGTATCTTTCTTGTAACAAAAAAATAAAAGAACAAATTTAAGAAAGATAAAATTTTAAACATATATGTTAAATTATAAATGTATAAACTATGTTTTATATTTTATCTCAATATTTCTATCTTTTTTATCAGCATATATATTAATGATATCTTCATAAAATGGTTCATTTTCTTTCAGCTGTTGGATTAATAATTTTTCTATACTTATTGTAGACAGAGAACTTAAACGTTGTTGGGATGTACTATTCCTTAAATATGTTTTAATTCGTTTCAGGCAAGAGAAACTTCTTTCGACAGAAACACTAGTAGAAGGAATTGTTAATATTAGAGAAAATAGCTTATAAACTTCAGGCATAACTTCTTTTAAATAATCATTTTCAAAAATCTTAACCATGTCATAAATGTGTGATAGATTATGATATTTGACATCATTGTATAAGACTTCTAGTTCTACTTTTAAGTTGTCCATATCTTGAAAAATATTAGAATATGTTTTTTTAAGATTTTCTAAAGCACTAGTGGGAAAATTACAAGAATAATCTTTAAATTTTGTAACATCAGCTAACTGTAAATAAATTAATTTATCAGTATCATTTAATCTAATACTTAACTGCATTAAAATATTATCAATAATTTCATAAAATACAATTTAAAACTTAATTCACTATTTGAATTAGTTCTTGAAGCTTTGGGAAGTCTAGTTAAGGCCACTGCTTTGTTATATTAACTCAAAATATCTGTCTCGTTTCTTTTTTGTTTTATAAGATCACATGTAGAGTTTATTTTTCTCAAACAATATTCTATATCAAAATATTTATTTTGAAGAGTGTTAAATAGGTTATCTGTAATTAAAAATATGTCACTAAAAATATGTGATAAAAATGCAAATTCAAAAGTATTCAATTGTTTTAAATGACCAACTGATCCACTAATAGTTTCAGATGGTGATTTAGGATTGTTTATAATGGTTTCAAAAACTGTTTTTAAGTTGTTCCACTCTTTAAATACTAAATGTAAAATCTTTGAACGCGATGCCCATCTAGTTTGAACAAACTGGGGAATGCGTTTCCTTATAATACTGTCAACTACATTAGTGCGAGATGTTGAATTATGAAAGAATGTACTTGTCATATTAGCGAAAAATATGCGACATTTTTGGTTATTACTACATCCATGTTGTAGTACTAAATTTAATCTATGTGCTAAACAATGGGTAAATAAAGCATTAGGGGCAATTTCTTTTATCCGGGCTTGTAAGCCGTTTAAATTTCCAGCCATCACACTAGCACCATCATAGCACTGACCAACCAATTTGTTTTCAATACTGAACTCTTTTAAAAGGGAATTGATTAAATTAAATAATTTACCGTGTTCACTAATAACATCTACAACACTAACGGTGTTTTTTTCTAAATTTTTTAGATTTAAATAGTTATGAACATGATCTTTAGAAGCTTCGTGTCTTTGAATACTTCTTGAGATACTTTTAAAGTCACAGTAACCTGATGAGGTCCAAATAGAATTTGTTTGGCTCAATAAAATGCATGGCCAACAGAATAATTTTTGTAAATAAAAACTTCCACACAACCACGCATGTTTATTATACAAGTTTGAATTAAAAGAGCTACAAAACACTTTAGAACCTTTTTTGTCTGCAGACAAACATGTCAGAGGAGGAGTTGGTTTACCTTGCTTAATCAAATCGTTTTTGTCATTATTACTCCAACGCCTGTATGGATGTTGCTTAATAACTACTATACTGTCATATACAGAATTAATTTTGAACAAAAATAATGAAACTAATATGTATAAAAATATATTAACTAATAACTTATGAAAACTAAATAAAACGCCAAATAGGATGCCGGTATCAGAATCAAGTAAAAAATATAGTGATATCAAATTAGGAATGCTGATAAATGATTTAGTGAGAATGGGAAATGGCGTTTTGTTGTTGGCAGTGTCGGTGCTGATGAACATGCTGAATATCTATGCCCCCTTTCTGCCCCAAGACAAGAACGATCATCGGTCAATTGCCCACAAAGGCAATATTTTTGTGTCGCTTCTCGCAGAGAATTGCACATGCGCTATTCGTATTATGTTATGTATGTGTGTGTGTATGTTGTGAACACAACAACATAACGTGAGATACTAGCGGCCACGGTTGTCTTCTCAGGTTGGCGCTCGCGCAATGTGTCTAATAGAATTTCGCGGTAATGAGCGGTGTTGACTAGAACTAATAGCGCTAGTGGTCACTGGCCATAATATTACCTATAGAGCAATAGGTACATTATAATTTTTTTATTATTACGCTAAAATGGTTGAATTTACGACAAAAATAATAGAGAACAAATTTTTAGATTAATAATTTTTACATATGATAAGTACATTTTCTGAAATATTTTACCGAAAATTGAACTAAAATAAATAG